TAACTGTTTACAGCTCTCAAAAATTAAATGTCTCTCACTTAGTTTTATTTTTCATTCATCCGGCTTATGGCAAATGTAGATTCATATCACTGCACACACATTTCTGAGGATTTGAAAGGCTCTTGAAGTTTTTTTCTATGTTTAGGCAGGCATTCTCATCTAGATAGATAAGCTTATATGCAAATAAGCTGGTTTCTGTATAAGAGTTCCAACACATACATTAATTATGGGATAACTATGTACTTTTGGTTTTCAGAAATACCTATACGTATCTATCAATCAGCAGATACTTACTGCATGTCAACTGTACCCTGGTCAACGTGTTAGGAACTGTAGAAATATAAGAAAGGAAAAGGAACAATCTTATCCTCAAGGAGTTTCCTAGTTGAAGGAAGGAGGAAAATTTGCATATGAGGCAAGATAACTGTTTAAGGCAGCACACCGTGAGTGCTAAGTGACCGCAGGCAGCGAAGGTGATGATATATTCAGTGGAAAAACAGGGGAGGGAGGAAGCAGAGAAATCCCTGGGGACAAGAATAATTCAAAGTCCTTTCAGGGAAGATGAACTTGAGCCAAGACTTGAGGGATGAGTAAGATTCAGAAAAAGGAAAAGGAGGGAGAAGGGCATGAATAAGGGAAGGAAAGATTTTGAGGGACCCTGAGAAGACCACACCAACTAAAGCAGAGAGGCAGTGGAAAGAAATTGAGGGAGAGAGTCTTAGCAAAGGTATCAAGAACCTTGAAGACTGGCCAAAAGAGTTTCAATTCAATCCCATAAGTGATACAAAGGTAACACAGGTCTTTGAACAAAGCTTTCACATGAGTCAAGGGGTATTTTAAGAAAATTTCTAGATTTGGGGTCCATAGAGCCTCCTATGGCTGAATTATTTGCTGATATGGCTATTTGTGATTCCCTTCGCTCCCATTTTCAACAATTTTGTGATCCATTTGCCTGTATTACAACACCTTTGGTTCTTATAATCCTTTGAGTCCACTTTTCCAAAATGAGAGGATTGAGGTAGAAGGCATGCGATTCACCAAAAACTCAATTCGTCTTGTACTCAGACCGTGGGGCCACATGATCCTTCCAAATTGGGTGCTGACAACTCTCCAGGCTCTGAAAACTCTAGAACTAGAGAGACACATCCAACCAAATGCTGTCTCTCTCCCTTTAAAAGAGAATTAGATAAATAAAAATTGCTGTTTGCTTTCTCCCTTAGGGTAAAAATAGCTTATTGTTTTTCCTAACTATATAAATGACATGTGCTTATTACCAAAATTCAAATACAGCAAAGTATAAGGAAGACCTCCTGGAGTCTCAACCCCCTGAAAAAACCACCATTAATATCTAGAAACTCACTTTGTAGGCATATTATCATGTATATACACATACACACATACATTTTGTTATTTTAATCATGGTAATGTGTCCTGGTAATGTGTTAGGCATGTGAATATCTTATTATTGAAACATTTTGTTGTCTTTCAGCTTTCCCTCCTCCTCTCCCACCTCTCAGTCCTGTTTTCCCCACACCCAGCTTTTTAGGACTAATATATGTCTTCTGTAACTTTATGCTTTATAAGCATATTAAACATACACATATATAGGATTTTCATTATCATTGTTAGATTTACAAAAGTAGCCCCCATTATATATACTTCTTTGCATCATATTTTGCCCTCCGAACAGTATATCATGGAAATTCCTACAATTTAAGTGCTGTTTAATTCATTCACTTTAATATTTCATGAAATAAAAATAACTAATATTTACTGAGTACTTACAATGTGCCAGGGACTCCTCCCATACAAGTTGCCTGTATTATGTAATTCTCACAAAAACCTTGTATGAGATTGGTATCCCTGTTGTCCTTATTTTATGGATACAAAAACTGCAACATAGAAACTGAAAACCTTTTCCCAGGTTACTCATAATACATTTAAGATGAGTATAGGGATGAAAGCCCAGGCAGCCTGATGCTAGAGCCATGTCCTTCAGATCTACACGGAACTGCTTAGAGCCAGGCACGGTGGAGCTCCCAACCAGCCCCTCACTAATGGGCATTCTCTTGATTCCACCCTTTTTGCCACTACAATAAATATCCTTGACATACATCCTGATCTATGGGTGTTTCAGCACTTTCATTCAACAAGCATGTAATGATAGCCTCCTCTATGCCAGGGACTATTCCAGAGGCTAGGGTTCCACTGATGAGTGAGAATAGTCCTTGTTCTCACACAGCTCACATTCGGGTGGGAGAAGACAATGAATGAAGGAGTAAATGAACAACAAGAAAAACAGGAGATAATGCCATTAAGTCTTATATTGACAATTAAAATAGAGTGACATGATAGAGAGCCACCTGGTCATAACTATAGATATTTTTTAATATGATACAGATTGAGAGCAGGATTGCTGGGTTGAAGAAAATGTTCTTTTTTAACTTTAATAATTATTATCGCTCTGCCTAAAAGTCATATTTCCAATAATTCTCATTTCTACCAATAACAAAAATAGAGATTTAAAAATTGATGTTTCTTGTCTTCCTTTTTGACTCACTAGAATTTTGAAAGATTTTTTTCTTCTCTGCTAACTATGCTGACCTATTTCAAATTCAACCTATATAAATGGACATTGTCTATAAAGACAGACATCAAAAATTACTTTATATCACCATGTATATTTTTTAAAATGTATGTTTATATACAGCCACATACACATGGCTATTCCTATGAGATCAAGAATGTGCATCTCACAGAATACTCTTAGAGGAAATGTGTGTTTGTCAGTGTGATAGGGGGTGGCAAACTGTCTTATGTTCTCACTACAGATAGCAGAAGAGTTAAATTTTTAAAAGATAGTTGAACATGACTGACCTTTTAAAAACAGCAAGGAAGCAAATCTAATAGATTGAAAACAGTCTTCTATAAAGAAAAATCTTGATAAACATTAAAAAGCAGCCCTAGAGGGGCTGAGGTATTTTCAGGGGTAACAATCAAAGGAATACCAGAAAACCTGCCATCCATAGCCTATGGAACTAGACATTCCTCCCACGCCCCCTTTCCTTATTTATAGGACTGCCTGGTTATCACAGATTCTGGGGGCTGCCATTGTTCAGAGGACTCATAAATATCCAACAGGTATTTCATGAGAGAAAACACAACTGAGTAACTTCCAACCACCTTAACAAACAGAAAGGAGGAGAACTTGTCTTCTTGGCTCTTGCCAGTCCCACAAGCCCCTCAAACCATTCCAAGGAGAAGTGGGAGGCACTCAGACACGCCTCTCTGCAAAATTCCCCGCCAAATCAGAGTGACGAATGACAGCATCCATTCCTAAAGCTAACCTCTCACTTTTCGTGAGCAGAAAAGCAGGGTTTTATTTTAACCGTGTTTCACAAGCAAAAGCAGTGGAAAGAATTCCATGCCTAATCTTTTCTTTTCCCTCCCTTGAAATGTGATCATATTCCTAACTTTAGTCATACTGCCTGGTTTCCCTTTCTTAATGGAGTGAAATTTATGTCTATGATTAGAGAATTGGCTTGGGAAAACCATTTGAGTTTTAAAAGTTATATGTTTTAACAATAATAGATATGGGAACCCTGGAAGAAAACCAGTGTATTTTGGATGTTAATTCAGACATCCTAACGACTTGGCTATTTCAATCCACAGTTAGTAGGTAACGGTGGTATTAGACATATTTGAGGGGGAAAAAAATTGAGTTGAAAGTTTTTACAAGGATAGCATAGTGATAAATTTAAAATTATAGCCTAGATGTATGTGCAGCTTTTGGGTTAAGATGTCTGGGATTATTTTGAAAATAAAGAATAAGGTGGCATGCATTAAAAGAGTAGCTTTCCTAGAAGTGCATTTACTACAAGCATGACCCTTAAACTTTAGCATTCATAGACACCGGAAAAAAGGTCATCAGATATTCCTTGCTTTGTGTGATAGGTATGTTTCATAATTCAACAAGATTTTTCAGTCTATCAAGGAAATTCACAACAAATGAAACAATGCGGTCAGATTTTGAGAAGAGGAGGGTCAAGGCCACAAAATGCAAAATGCCCTCCATCCAACCAAACAGGCCAGATCCCTCCTGGATGGAGTCTGCGGGGTAAGTCGTGGGAGCTCTGTCCTCACAGATGTAAATCTGTTTACCTTCTTGCTGTGTTCTTAGAGCAACTTACTTACTATTTCTGAGCATCATCTGCACAATGGAGTGCTATCAGTCTCTCACTTCAGAGGGTTTTGTGAGAATTAGATGAGATAATGTATGTAAAACAGAGAAGACATTTATTACATTTTGGTTCCTTCCTCCTTCCTATCCAGCTGTTATGTTGGCTTTGGGATACACAAAGTGGAAGGAAGGCATCTAAAAGAAAACTAAAAGGTAGACATGGGGGTGAAAAGCAAGAGTTCCTTGGAAGTGGGCTGTCCTTACTTGACAGAACCATCTCAGTTAACCAAACAAACACCACCTGTACCTGATGCTTAACCTGCAGCCAGCCCACCCTTGCATGGAGGAATACTTTTGCAATTGGGGTAATTGCCTCCTAATGCCTTTAGTTTCTAAGTTCTTCTAATCAAGGCATGCGCATTCATTTATGTACCTGTTGTACAGCTTAACGACACTGTACATATAGTTTGTGTCATTCACTTACTATTTTATGCTATGTCATTCATTTCAATACTGTTCATTTAATTGCTTGTCACAAAACAAGTCATAAATATTTATTAGTTCTAACAGCATGATAGTGCAAAAAGTATCTTTCAAGATGCCCTAAGGATAGCAAAAGAAAATCTAAATCTATGACCCCAAGTGGTTATTTAACAAATTCTCAAATTCTTAAATACCACTGTAACATATGACACCCTCTATAATGTAGGAAAGTACACTTGAGAAGCCTAAAAGCCTCTTCAGGCTTCTTAATAAGTTAAAAAGGTTAAAAATACAGTATTGAAAATTGTATAAAAATATTTTCTGGCGAAGAACTTACCATTTCCATCCAAATCTCAGGTGACTTTGTGTGGAGGTCCATTTTCCCAAGGAACCAAAGGTTGATCACTTGACAAGAGTTCCTGGCCTCATCAATCCGGGGGCATAAAGAACAAGAGAATCACACACTGAGGTCGCTGAGCAGTTCATTCACGGCAGAAGACGCTTGTTCCCACACACAAGATGAAATTTCAGAGTTTGGACCTGCCGGAGATTACAAATCATACATATCATGGGCTTTTAGGAAGCCCCATAAGTAGGTGAAACTGCCAATATTATCTCCATAAATGCCAAAGGCTTAACATCATGGCTAGAAGAGGCACGAGGCAGTTAATCATACCCCCCAATCACTAGCACATACAAGAACTGAAATGAAGTACTGCCTGCTTTAGATCAATTTTAAAGCTACTGCAGGTGTCTGCGGCAGGTGTCTGCTTGCTTTTGAACAGAGATGTGTAATAGTCAGATGCGTGCTGGAAAACCCATGTCCTGCCTTAAAAGAGCTGTCTGATGATAAGAAAGCTGTCTTTACTTCATTCAAGAATCTAAATTACCCAATTTCATTATACCATGGTGGGAGAAGCCATTTGACAAGGAGAACTTTTAAGTTCATCTCTTTCTTTGCTCCCCATTTCCTCAGCTGAGACTTACCTCAGAGTCAGCAAGGGGCCTCATTTTATAGACAATTTGCCACAAGTCATAGTTTTCTTTGGTAATGAAAGACTATTGAAATATTTGGACCTCTTTTAATTCCACATTACTCAAACAAATAATCAATTCACTCATTTAAGTTAAAAAAAATTGTCAATTTTGTAAGGAGGGGAAAATTACCCAAATTCATTATCTGGGTAATACAAGATCATACAACCAGACTTCTCTCATCTTTTTTAAACTTTTAACTATTTATTTTAGCATCATATAGATAGATATTTAAACAGCAGTTGGTGGAATTAAGTAGCACCAATCCTCCATTTAAAATATTTAAATAAGATTTCATACCAGCATGGCTTTATGCTAACATTTCTTAAATGAATACAGAAAAAAAATCTACTACAGTAAATGTCCTGCTCACTACTTCCACCAGCCTCCACTCCGTCACCACCAGCAGCCCCAAATTGCTTTACTGCAGTAGAATGATGTTACAGTGTTAAATTGCTAATCATTCAAGTGTCCAGGCTAGAGGAAAAGCCACGCACACAGTCAGTCTTCCTGAGGTGAATTAACGAATGAAAAGAAGTGCGTTGTAGGAGTGCTGAGGCTGCAAAGGAAGGAGCTTTGTGGGGGAGAAGGACGGGCTCCCCAAAGGCTGTTTCCAGGCCCTCTGGCCCACCTGGTCCCTTGTGTAATCCTGGGGTTTCATCTGGTTTTGCTGTCATGGATTTAAGGGTGTCAGGCAATAGGGGGATGATTCAAAGGGGACTGCTCTCAGTGCTGGGACTGAGGAATCCTGACAAGCTTCACTCTGGCTCCCCTACTTTCTCTTTCCTCTGTTCCTGATGCTTCCCATGGCTGATACAGGGGCCAGAGCAAACATTTCTGGAAGACAATTTCATGTTGCTGACAATGTGTTGTAATCAAATCAACAAAGCACCATTTCTAGAAGCCTCTACCCGACAGAGAAATGACACTGTTCCACCAAACACTTCCTTGAAACGAGATTCCACTGTTACCCTAACCTCCACTGAATAAAGATTCATTCAGATTTATTATGTGCCAAATCCTCTGAGACGCCGGCAAAGACACCAAGATGCAGCAACAAGAAGACAGGCCCTGCCCGCGACACTCTGCGCAGGGGGTGGCTGAGGGAACGAGAGGATTTAAAGTCTAACTTCTCTTCGTGGCTCTCTCTCCCCTTTAATCAAGCCCACATGTGTAACGCCAGGGAACTTAATGTGGTGAGGAGGGGAGATTATAAAAATGTTCACTTTCATCCTATAGATATGAGAAAACAAGAACATATTGCCATTACTCGACAACTTTATAGCTCCAAATAATGCTCGCACACAGTAAATCAGTGAGGGTTTCCCTGGCTGCACTGAGTGGGTACCTCACCGCTGCAAGGGGAGGGAGCACAGGTCCTTCCCAGCCAGGGCCAGGCTGCCATGGCCCCAGGTAGGTCAGGGAGAAGGCGCCAGAGAAGGCAGGAAGCAGGGAAGGCCCCAGCTGCTCTCAGAGCCGACAAAGTCCTCCAACCCCCAGGCCCTCTGCAACCTTCCCTCTCTTCTTAAGAAATGACAGAAATCAGGAAATATTACTTCGGCTTGCAGGCTTCTGTCCTGGCCTATCAAACCCAGAGAAGTCCCAGCAAATTACTGGAAACTGCACTTTGAACTTAGCCCTTGGCAAGGAGCCCAGTCAAACAGAAATGTAAAAGTTCCTTTCCTCGGAGGGGCCCCTGCACCAGGGCGTCCCTATAGACACTCTAGAGCTGATTGCAACAGGTTGGAATGAGGCCCTGAGCCAGGAAAACAAGCCCTGACCAGTATGATTTCCTACTGCCTGTGTTGTTTCTTAAAAAGGTTTTTTTTGGCTTGTTCTCCCTCGTTTTGTTGGACTAGGTTACAGGCTTGGGTCCCATCGAGGAAAAGACTGGCACCGTTTTCACCAAATGCTTAATCCTTGTTTAGTTCAAAGACTGCTCCATAGGCCCCCGCGGTAGGTGCAGTGATGCTGGGGGCAACAGAAGGGCAGGGGCTGGCCAGGCCAGTTGCTAAGCAAATCTTCTGAACGCCCAGGGAACTGAGAAGTAAGCAGCTTGGAAACCCTGCAGATAGTTTCAGCTCTGAGAAGGGAGATGATCCTTCTCTGTCCGCTCCACTTCACCACACGGTATTGAAATAAACCAGCAAGAGGGGCCGCCCTGGCTTACACGGGCAGCAACGGTGATTTCTCCTTCTTAAGAGGAAACAATCAAAACACTGGGCTCGTTCTAGCTCTGTTATATTTCTCTCTAGAAAAACTGAATTTGCATAAGCAAATAAACTGACTCATTACAAAACTAAGAGGTCAGCGAGAGACACATAAAACTAAAGGTTAGCTGCAGAAACAACCTCTACTGCAGCTGTAGCAGGGAGATGGTTGGGAGACACAGTAAACCCCCCGCACCCCGGCCCCCACCCATCAGCAACCTGTGAAAGGGAGGGGCTGCACTCCATACCCACTTTCTGTCAGATCAAACATTCCTTTCTCAAGTACTAACACTGACTGAAATCACAGCCAGATCTGGCCAGCAGTGACCCAACCCTCCTAACGTGCAATCATTCTAACTCCTTTAGCATACTGGGGTTTTCCTGCAACATTTGGACGGTTTCACATACAGGGTGTGAACAGTACAGTGATCTACTCCTCTGATAATTTTATGAAGAAAATTGCTGAAATGAGTTTTTAAAGCCCTGAGTCCTTTATAAAGGTCTCTAACGTTGATAGAACTGCTTTTGCCATCTCTAAACCCATAGCTTCCCCCTTCCCTGCCTTCCTGACCTCCACCAGACCCAGTTCTACCATAATCAACAGTCAGAGAATACCACACCATTCCAGAAAAAAATGCTGTTGGGTGAACTCTCATTTTAGGACACTCCTGGCTGGCCCTGCCATATTCTAGGATGGTTCCCACAGCTTTTCCACTTTGTCAATGCTGAAGTCCTGCATGGAATTTATCATTTGTTTCCCCCTCTCTAACTGGCCAGTAGTTTTAAGAGAAGTAATGCAAGAATGAATGACAAACCCAGACATTACATAAAGTCTACAAAGAGGGTTATGTGTAGGGTGGATTGCTCTCTCATCCATGCATTCAACAGGCACTTACTATGGTTCTCCCTCACAAGCAGATGCTGCCATACATATCCCCCTCAGGCTCTGTGGCCTCATCAACAAAATGACCCAGGAGAAAAGTGCCTAACTTCTGAGGAGCTTGTGCCAGTAAATGGCAAGTGTGAGTGGTCACAGCCAGCACAGAGAAAACCCCTGTGAACACCTGGAAGTAGAAGATTCAACACCAGATAAGAGGTCAGAGGTAGAGGGGAGCCGCTGGTGCTCACAGGAGACTGAACTCTGCCCACATCTGAACTCCCCAAGGGAAAGGGCCAAGCATGTGAAGCAGAGTCAGGAACTGGGCTTGATGCATTAGAGCAATGTAACCTGAGCTCCAGTGTGCAAGGGAATGCCTAGGAGTGCTTGACCAACAGGCAGACCCCTCAGCCACCCCACACCACTCCCAGAGGACTGCTCTAGTAGGTCTGGTCAGGCCTCAGCTGATCGTGAAGCTGGACATCCACAAGCCACACTTTGAAAATCTCTTCGAGAAGAAGAGGAATTAGGCAAGGGGGAAGCAGAGAAGTGTGGAAAATAGCAAGAGATGGCCTAGAAAATGGAAGAACCAAAATGGTGTGGCAGAAGTGCAGAAGCTGTAGGGAAGAGAGTTTGCCTGGAGGCTGGGGGACGGCAAGGACATTGAGAACTTGGGCAAGGTTCACTCGACTCCCTGTAAGACAAAGAGAGGGTCAGTAGAGGGTAGAAGTAAAAGATTATTTTGGTTTATTCTTTTTAAATGCTCCAATTTATTCAAAAATATAAAAAGTCAGCAAGTATTCTTAAATTTGTATTATGCCAATCTGATGTTCAAGTGAAAATATTCTAAAACTCAGGTTAATCCAAGTTTCTTTCAGAAAAGCAACTGCATTCAGGCAACATAAGTAATTGGTTGCCTGGAATCATAGGACTAACTTATCAGTAGCTATGTAGGACTAAAACCACACTATGTATCCTAATAACAGCAGGTTGTGCATTTATGACCATCCACTTCTTCAGTTTCTTAGTTGCATTACCAACCTGAAGCATGAATGTATGTTCAAAGCCACAGAGACACAGAAAGCGGGAAGAACTGAGGTTGTAGAGAAGGCCTCTGTTTCCGTTCAGAAGTCCACGGAACCAATGAACTTCAGTTGTGTCTAATCACATAGAAGAATAGGGCTGAGTGGGGGATGACTAGCTGCCAAGTGACAGCAAAATTCAGAACACTTCCCCACGAGACAACAGCCCAACACCAAAAAGCCTTCACTACCTCCATCTCCATTCTTTGGGCCACAACCACCTTCTTGATGACAATAGAAAAAATATTTTTAATTGCCTTATAAAGAAGGCAGTACTAAGATCCACAGAATACAAAGCACGGGGATGAAAAATAGGAGAGAAAATATATCTGGGAGATCTAACATATGACTAATGAAATTTCTAGAAGGAGAGAACAGAGAATAAATTGTGGAAGAAATCATGAAATAAATAATATGAAAAATTCCTCATATCTGAAGGACACAAGCAAGAGCCCACTAAGGGAGCAGTATACTAACTAATAGAAGATTTACAACAAAGCACTTCAATGTCAAATTGGGAAGATTCTAAAAGCTTTGGGGAAGAGAAGCAAAGATCACATATGAAGGACTGGTGGTCAGAACTGCTGTCTTCAGCAGCAACATCTTCAGCTAGAAGACAACAGAACAGTGCCTTCAAAATGCTGAAGGAAAGGGATCACCAACCTAGGTTTGCAGCCAGGCTAGGTGGTACCCAACCCTACACATGCCACGCAGGCTGGGTGATGACCCCTCTCCTGTCTCTCACTGAGCTTGTCATTTTCAAGGCCCTCACTTGGGATTATCGGACCCAGTTTGTCAGATAAGGAGCTACCTTTACCCAGGCAAGTTACACAAAGAACCCTCCCCATAATGCCCATGGTCAGTGGATTTAAATTCTGCCACCTGAGCCCATGACCCCTTTAATCCTTAATCTCTTCACCACCTTTACCATTAGCTTTACTGTCCTTCCCCACACCCCACCCAATTCGGGCCCTCACCTGCACATTTGCATTGTAAGTTTTTCTCCTGTACCCACGGATGCTCATGTTGCTCTTTACATACATGTTTCCTGAATGCAGGGGCAGCCCCCACTCAGTCTGTGACACCCTAACAATGGACTCATGACAGGGAAGGTAAAGTCTGGTGAGGCTCAGAGCAAGAGAAATAGAGGAATCTGCTCCTAAGAAATGCCTCTTGTATGATTAAGGAGTTTCCAGTCTGTCCATATTTGAGCTCACCAGGGCAGAAGAACACAGGGAGTCTGGGCAGAGGCCTTTTTAAGAAATGCATTTGCCTGGAACATCATCCTTATCATAATTCTCAAGATCCTTAAGCCCAACTGTGGTAAAGAACCTCTTTGAACTCAGGTTCAGCAGAGAAGAGGTAACCCCATTGCCATACTCCACCATGACGAACAGAATGTTCCTAGTAACAACTTATGGAGCCCAAATAAGCAGCCAAGACAGTAGGACATGCTAGATAATAGGAGTAAAAAAAAATTAGGTGAACTTAGTATTTACTTGGAAATGTACAATACATATTCCCGTAAGCCCCAATCCTGGTGTATACCACCATCACCACAAACCCAACACGTTCAGTATCAAATTCATGACCTTTCCTAAAACCTCCTCCAGCTTCCTTACTTTAGTCACTGGCATCACCAGCATCCCTTGCACATAGTTCCAAAACTCAGCATGTCCTTTGCATCCTCCCACTTCCTCATGCCCAGCTGACAAAATCCTGTCAAATGGGGAGAGTCCTGTTGGCCCGCCCCTGCATTTGCTCCCCTATCTCCCCCACCCATCTTCCTAGGGTCACTGGTTCGGGCCTCATTCCCTCTACCTAGTCCACAGTTTCCCACCTACTGCCACCAAATTAATGAATCCAGGGCAGAGTTCTAATTATTTTGTGTAAAAGAGACCACACACGAGCTGCTTCCCCAATATCCATCTTCCCTTCTCTCTTAGTACAAGAACCTTGAGCCTTAGCTAGTCACATAGCTGCTCAGAATAAAGTGCACATTTCCCAGGCTGCCTTGAAACTCGATGTGGCAATGAGAACTAAGTTTAGGCCATGAGATGTTTAAAAAAATGGGTTGTCAGGGACTGCCAAGAAGGCTGAATAAAGTAAGCAGAGTCAGCAGGCCTGTATGCCCCTTTCATAGTCCATTCTTCCTCCTTCTAGCCTGCAGTGCAAGCACAACGGGTAGAGTATGCAGCCATTTCAGACCATGAGGTAACTGTGAGGATAAAAGCCTGCTTCGCTAGAACAGAAATGCAAAAAACTAGGAGAGGCCTGGATCCCTGATGACTGTATGGAGCTCACATGCCTGCTTTGAATTGTAAGTCTCCAGAGTCTTTTATGTGAGGAAGCAACTCTTCTGTGCTTAAGCCACTATTTTTCAGGTCTCTGTTACTCAGAGCTGTGTGCAAATCATAACTGACAAAATTTTCCTCTAAAAAATCTCTGGTGTCTCCCAAGTTCCAACTAAACAATGTCCAGACTCCTTGGCCCAGCACCCCTGGCAATCCCAAATCTGGACTGCAACTTCACTTCCAGCCTGTCTTCCACTCCTTTCCCTTATGCAATTTATAATCCAGCCAAACTGCACAGCTGTGGTTCCCAAGGAGCATGGCCATCACCGAGTGCCTTTAAGAGAATTATAGCACATTAGAGCTGAAGACCTCAGTGAACCTCTAGAACAGTGGGTTTATGACAGTTATTATCAGTGAATCTCCCTTTCTTTTTCTTAAACAAATATCATACGCAAATCTCCAATACATAAGAGATAAAAAGCAGAGCTGCTCTGACTTTAAAACCACTGGTCTGGTCCAAATTTTTATTCAATTTTTCTTAAAGTTAAATAAACTAAGGCCAAAATGGGTGGGAACTGCTTGGTCTCAGCTTGGCTAGTAGCAGGTCAGGACTGGGCCCCAGGTTTCCCTCCTTTGTTCTGTCCTTATTTCTACCAATAAGTAATGCAAAGACAGGGGCCCAACAAAAGCAAAACTAAGTGTAGCAATTTTCAGATTCCCACGTTTCTGGTTAAAAGAAAAGGGAATTATATGAAAGAAGGATTTACAGACCCTCTCAATCCCCATCAACTAGAGATATACAAGAGAAACAACAGTGGGCCCAGTATTAATTCCCATCAATCTGGAATTTGCCAAACTCCAGAATGTTCCCCATTTCTGAATACCCAAGGGAGCCATCATAGTTAGCCCAGCCTTCCAGAGAGGCAAGATTATATACCAGGTCAAAGGATGTGTCTCCCAGTATACTCATAAAATCCTATTGCCTGGTGTTTCACTCTATTAAAAACTATCAAGATGTTGACTTACCTGGGAAACCATATCCTCTTGGTTCTTGAGGCACTAAGAGTGGCAAATTAAGTTGAAGATGCTGTTTTTTCAGACCTGTCTTTGGGGTTCTAGTGAAACCCTGATTCTATCTGACTGTGTTTAAGGAAGGTCACTGCTCCACGTAAAGTAGAGGAGAATGAATCATTGAATATTAGAGAAAGGGACATAAGAGACCATTAAGTCCCATTTCACTGAAGTGAAGTTCTGCTTCGTATGCTTTGTACATTTAACTGTTTGAATTAGGCTTCTTCTATTTAGGTAATAAAATCACAAAGCACAAGACAAGATGTATCACAAGGTTAACGTTTCCTAAAGAGAAATAAACTGGGCTATGATTGCTGAGAAGAGAAGACAGGGGAAGGGGAAAAAAACAGAACTTGTATATAGGAGCCAGAAGGGCGGCAGAGGCTAAAATTTCTTCAGCCGTGATTCAAGGCAGTTTCTCTGCTCTCCAGAGAGAGGGCAAAGAAAACAGTCCCCTAATGGGGTGGAGCGGTATGTGGAGAGCTATGGTCAAATGCAACTGACCACTCACCTTCACTGGGTGTTAAAAAGACTTGGGATTGCAAATGCCGCTCATTCCCTTCGAGTCCAACCAGACCTTAGGAGCAGTCTGACTGTCAGCACACCGTGTGCCCTGTGGCAAGTGATCTCTCTAGTGTCTGTAAAACAGAGATGATAATACAGTACTTACTTGATGGGGTGTTACGAGGAATAAAGTGCCACACAGAGCCTGGCACATGGGAAGTACTCAATAAATGTTATTATCATGTTTTACACTGTTTTTTTTTTACACTGTTTTCTCTCTCCAGCTAATCATAAATGCCTTAAAAGCAGAGGCCACGCCCTTATGCCTCCACAGGACACAGAATCCATACTAGACGTTTTCAGCGTTGGTTGACTGATTAATAGGCACTGTTAGAGGAGGCAGAGCTCATTAGATTACATGTGACAGCATGTTCCTTCCAGTTCTCAAAGAAACTCCCTACAAGCCCTTTATTTGGAGAGGAAGCAGCAAATCCCCGCGCCTTTTAAAGAATATCAAAGTGTCCCCTATTTTCTCCCATTTTCCAGATCAAAGAGAGGAGCTGTCAAAGGCAAGTGAGGGATGGCAGAGCCAGGGAAATGACGCAGGGACGCGCTTCCCAGGCGAGCCGGTAGCTCGGGCTCCTGCTGGGGCGGCTCGGCCCTCCCCTCGCGAAGCCTCCGCGTTCAGACTTGCGCCGCGGCTCCCGTAAAGCCCGCTCCGCCTTTCCCTCCCGTGTCGCGGGGCCTCTGTCTTGCATCTGTCCACGCCAGAAAACCCACGGCCAGCGTGCCTTTTCATTTGTGAGAACAGAGTGGAAGCTGTCTGATGCAGAAGCAAGTACCCTTTGGGGAGACACCAAACTCAGGTTCCAAGCAGTACTAGCTCACCTGCCCCAGGTTTCCGGAAGGCGGCGGGCGCTCACGCGGCGGGCGGGGCGGGTCACGTGGGCCTCCGTGTCTGCGGAGTCGGGTTACCTGGAATGTCGGGCCTCTGAGAGTCTGGGTGGAGGACGGAAGGACGGGGTGCCGGGAGTGGAGGAGTGTAGGGTGACTGGGTGGAGAAACCAGAAACCTGGGAGGAGGGAAACAGGTTTCCTTTTTTAGGGCACCCGTGCTGCAGGCACGTGTGGTTAGGGCAAGAAAAATTTTGTTTATCTTGAAACAAAGAGAGAAGCGAGGGTGCATATTTTCTCCCTGAAAATATATATGACATGCATACCTAAAGTAGTACTGGGTGAGACCAAAGTCGTTGGCAACCACGCAGTAATGGGGCAAATCTGAGGGGTCATTGTGTAAGCACTGGCTACTGAGAAGGGCTGTATAATAGGCGTATTATGGAACGCACACCTGGCCCCTGCAAAGCTGGGGAGCAAAAAATTGCTTTTATAGAGCCATAGAGTGAGCAATAGGATGAAGGTCTTCCCTTGCGTTAGAACAAGTTTATGCACAATATAAAATTCCAGGTATTGAGCCCCACATAGGCACAAGTGCATGTGCCGGCCGCTTGGACTTCTGATATCCCGCACTATTTTTCCTTAAGACTAAAGAGGAATCCTTTCGTTCTGGTCTACAGTATTTGGGGAAATCAGACTCTAACAGGTAAGTTCCTCCGCAGTTGCCATCTGAGTTTACAGTCAGCAACCTGGAAGAAAGGGATGTAAGAGTTTACCCTTTAGGAAGGCAGACACCTCTGAGGGGAAATGGGGCACCTTCAAGATTAAAACTTAACTAGAAAAGGAAGAAAAATCACATGGTATCCCTTCTGCTGTCCCCTAATACCTTGAGGAGTTCAAAGGTTTTCCAAGCCTGCGGCACTTGGCAATTATAATTACACAGTAAAATACCTAAGGTTAATGAATAACCTCTAAAGGAAGTTACTTCACATAATGACAGCAATTTCTCTGAACTAAATGTTAATAATAAGGCCTGTAATACTATGAGAAGGAAATGGTGGCAACTGGCAAATGGAACTCTGTTGCTTGGTAACAAGACCCGAGGTATGAACATTCTCTTTACCTCTCAGGAAAGGGGTAAGTGGAAAGATTGCAGCTCTGGCCTGAAGGCTTTGAAAGGCAGGCAGCCTTAGGAAGCCACCGTCTTGTCGAGCCATACATGAAGTGGAAGCATATGTGGCAGATCCCTCTGTTAGCAGACAGAAGTTTGAAGGGGAATAATTCCCTAAGAATCACTTAGTAGCACGGTAAAGGAAATAGGGTGTAATCTTATAGAGACGGAGGGCAACCTAGTTCACGTTACCTGGTACAAATCACTGCTACACAAATAGAACATTTCAGCAAAATCTACCCAAGGGCTAAATCTCCCCTGCCACCCTGCTTGTTTGTTCTAGCAGAGAAATACACTTTGATCTCTTGTTTGTTTTTTCTGTTTTGGAGCAACTGTGGCATTTGAGAGATGAATTAGAAAAGGAATGCATTAAGACAACCTCCGAGTGCAGTGTTCCTTGTAGAGGACAGTTACACATCTGAACTGCAGGCCTATCTTTAGTTGGGTAATTATTGGCAGTCTGAATTGAAAGATCCTAGAGACAACTTCTTCCAGCTGGTCATTAATCAACAGGAAATAGCCTACGACAAGGTCATGAGTACCTTAAACCATCACAGGAGCATATTCAATGAGAGGCTGAGATAAGACTGAGAGCTTTACGTCCCTGTTTGTTTTATGGCAGTCATTCTTAAATCTGCCAGGGTACCTGTATCACCTGGATAGCTTTTTAAGAAACAGATTCCTGGGTCCTCACTCCTGGACATTGATACTGTAGATGTAGGATAGTTATCTGGGACTCTGTACTGAGTTCTCCATGGTGTTAGGATCATCAGCCGCATGTGGGAAACACTGTTTTAAGCTAGGTTAGAAGCAGTTTTCTGATTAGACAGAAGATGGAAGGAGAATGATTTCTTATACATGGAATTTAATATAGCTTAACTATTTCCCTAAGAGAAATTGACACATTTTTAAAAAGAAAACTAAATATATATTCATTGTAAGTGCATTGTTTTATCATGTTTCATTTTTAATATTAAATTTTTTTATTAAAGTTATTGATATACAATCTTATTGGTTTCAAATGTATGACACAGTGGTTCAAGAGTTACCCATATTATTAAATCCTCATCTCCTTTAGTGCAGTTACTATCTATCAATGCAGAAAGATAGATGTTACAGAAGCCTTGATTATATTCTCCATGCTGTACTACCATCCCATGACCAATTTATTAATATTAAAAAATTTTTAATGTAATACCAAAATTGTCTTTCAGACTATCATTTAATTTGATACTACTTACTGTAACTTTAGCATCTTCCTAAGTAGGTGAATAAAATCATCTGTTCTAGGCCTAGGAGGCTTAAAAGGTTCACCATGTACAAAATAACAAAAAAGGCAGTTTGTTCTCTAGTCTTGGTTATTTTTTCATGGAGTTCTCTGGGGAAAATTAAAGTTCCTATGGCCAGGATCCTCACCTGAACATAAACTACTTGAGGATGTACCTGGCCTGCTGCTAGGCTACTGCTCCCACACTCATGGGCAATGAGCTATTATTGGCTGAGTCACTATATGAAGAGTTCTCTGCCCAGTGCTCTGTGCAAAAGCAGAGACAAAGGGGGATTCCAGACCTACAGATTGTCAGATACAGACATAATTCTAGTGCTTGACCTATCGCTGCAGTGAAAACAAGCTGAGTAATAAACCATTTTACCCTAAGAGTGTTCCATTATCATTCCTCAGTCTCACTGAATCCATAGCGAACTTGCCCAGGGCTGAAACCCATTGGCAAGACAAGTTCCTTATCAAGGGTTGGCCAAAACTTTCTAGAAGCTCTCAATAGCTTCCTTTTCCCAAAATCACCACCAGCTCCTTCTGACTTCTCCTGTCTTTGGCTAATTTATTTTAAAATAATAATAATCCTATATAATTTAGTTGTAAGTCTTAATGGACTAATGTTATAATGCTTAAATAATACAAACATATCTTTACAAAAAATGGTGGGGAGTAGTTCTTAATTCAAATGAATGACTCTTGTATAGCAAGAAGATTTTGGTGGCAGATTCAGCTTCTGACCCTGAAAATAACAATAAATTACATGTGGATTGAGTCCTGAATCATAAGGATCTCTGTATTTACGATGTAAAATGCAAGAAAATACATGATAATAAGACTTTCTAACTTTATTCAAAGAAATTAAAAGCCAGCCACAAAAAAAAAATCAAGAGAAACACCATCAAAATTATTTAAAATAAATGTCATCAGAATGTGTGGATTGCCTAAACTATATGAATGTTCTTCACAAAGAATAGAATTGACAATTTGACAAAAGCCATTTCTACTTCCCCCAGATTCTTTGGGGAGTCATTAATATAGTTCTTCAGAAACCAGAAGCATGTTCACTTGAACCCCAAACCCTAATTTACTAGAAGCTTCTTTAAAAAAGATCATTACTCCTCTACCCTTATATCCTTACTCTGGGCCTAGTAGGAACCTCTGGAAACTACCACTGGGGAACTGATGACATTTAGGAATCCTGATGGTTAGGAGAGAACACTTCATCCCCACTCCTGCACCCAAGGGTGCACACACTTGAAAGACCACATGGACATCATGACTCACCAAGCCTACTTGAATTGAGGGTGCCCAGCGTGGTTGAAAGCTGTGAGAGCTACATGACCCTCACACCTCACTATTTCAAAAGTGCCAGCCTTACATAATGTGATGGCTAGGCAAAAGGAAGTGACGCTTCCCGTGCCTACCTCCGCCCCCACTCCCACCCTCCTGTCTCTGTGCTCTGGGCACCTCTGCGTGACTCCAGTGAAACCTTTGCCAGGGTAATGTTGACTCATCTGTTCCCTGTGTTCAAATAAATACACACTGCTTGAGGTCAGGCAGTGGATTTTACTGAGTCTCACTCCGCAGGGTTGAGCGCAGTACTGCAGGTACTGTAGGAGAGGAAAAATTTTACCTCTACCCTCTTAGAGTCTCTGGCTGGGCCTGAGAATTAAATTAACGTAAAACAGATTAACAGGAGACAAGCATACAGATTTATTTAATGTAAGTTTTATGGGACACAGGAGCCTTTGTAAGGAAATTAAGACCTAAAGTGCATACTAGATGGATCAAACAGAGGCAACTGTAGAAAAGTAACTGAAATATATGGGAAAATTAAAGGAAGATAAGAATTATTTTAACAAGTTCTGCTTGTACAGATTTCTCTCGGCCTCAGCTCTCTGTCTCTGGTGATAAGAGTGTTCCTTGTCTCCTGGCACAAGGAGGGCATCTTTCATGAGAGTTTTATCCCCTGCTTTCAGGACGAAAAGGGAGGGTCAGACCACCCTTCTTGCACCTGCTATTTTTTAGTGCCTTTTACTCAAAATTATATGCCCAAGTGGCATACCTTGGGGAGGCATACTTGCCATCCTTCTGTACCTAGTACATTAAAGAGTTAAATACTGATGACTAATGAGTGCATAAATATCTGTGCTGTTAATGTTTGCTTTCTCTGTAGTAGCCAGTGTCTCTTTTTGTTTGTTTTGAAAAGCAGATAAAATGTTTCATGCTGTACTTAGTCACTAAAACCTTAGTATGAATTAATACAGTTGGTGATTCTTATCCAGACTAGAAGCAATGATGGACTTGAAAATATGGCAGAAGAGAAGGAAACAAAAAGTCAGAATAAAGAATAACTATAAGGAAAAATTTTTTGCCAGTATTTCACTATGTCCACAGGTTAATCCTGAACAGTGTTCTTATTCCACTTCCTTTCCACCAAAAGGATAGATGGTGATTTAGTTTAAATGAGTCTGTCCCATAAGTACCACTAGGATAATAAAGATATAGTATGCATCCTAATTGAGGCCTGATATAGAAGTGATTGTTTCTTGGTGAATTACTTGTCCTGTGCAAAAATACACTAGTTAAAATAAACCTATGGCATTCCTGGCACCAACTTGCACTAGATTCAATTGAAGAGTGACAGAAGTATGGGCAACGTCCAGAAGTTTAATTACGGAGTCTGGAGTCAGACAGACCCTTGTTAAATTTCTGATTCAGCCTTGGATGAC